TTGTGTGTGCCATAGTTTAATATAAGCAAGTATAATCCACAGTGTCCTTGTACAGTGTTCATTTTATACAGTTTACTCCAGGGCTAATTTTTATAGCAGCTTGTAACTCAAACTACTCTTTGAATAAGTTTTTAATGTTAATAGTTCATTCGTTGTTTGCACAGATACAAGTACAACTTTCAGGTAGCGGCAGCTTGCAAAAGGGAAAGTGCTCCTTTCTTTCACAGCTCAGATGGCTGGCATGTCAGTAGAGTATTGATTTTGCCTTGTGCAGTACAGATACCACTTTAGCTAGGATCCATCTCAACTGCCTGAGTTTCGGCAGGAAAACATAAGTGGTTTTTCCCTTGGTAGAGGGAGCGGTGACTTCCCAGCTGATGGGGAGCCTGGGGGCAGTGGGTGAGCCCACTGGTGAAGGACAGCTCTGGGGACCCCGGCCCGGGGGCGATGCAGCTCCTGCCAGGGTCAATGGGGTTCTGCCCTTTGTGGTTCCCTTCAGGCTAAAAAAACCCCAATACTAATACTAATACTAATACTAATACTAAAGTGACTCTTTTTCCATGCTAAAGATCTGTCTGTAACTACTATTAGTATGCACATCAATGATGTTGTTACACCAAGAATTAGAAATAGCATAAGATTTTTGCTGAACTAGCCATTGGAAGAATTGCTAAAGGTGGTAAAATAATTTTAAGTAAAAATGTAGTGGATTATTTCATTTAGAAATAAAAGGAGTATACTGATAAATATGTTACTTGGTTATCCTGCTGCTTAAAACTGTATTTATTTATTTATTGTGTTATGATAACTAGGTTTGAATCAACAATATAGCTTAATAATTTATGAATTTTAGCCACAGGCCTGCAAAAACTTGTGTCTGCATTGAAATGAATGTATCAATAATCCCAGCAAGTCCAGTAAAGGAAAATAAAATTTTAAGTATGTTATTATCAGAAGGGTTAAGTGTAAATTCATGCAGGTCTTTTGCTTGTTTGTGCTTCATAAATTAAACTCTAAACATACTGATGAGAGTAACAGTATTAGCTAGGAGCTATTTTTCCAAGTGATAGTCAGTAATGGAATGGAAAAATATGGTGTTCTAAGGGTACTCAGTTAGATGGTATAAGAAGACTGAATTTTAAATGTCTGTTCTTTTGATACTGTTCTAATTAATGTCAAATAATAACTAGCCCAGGGATTGGATGAACGCAAAGGAATCTTAATCTGTTTGTTTGTTTATGACAAGAGGAAGTATTGGACAGCTGTAGGATTTGATCCTTGGTCCTATCCCATGAAGCCTGTTTCTAGCACACTAACAGCTATTTTATACTAGAAGTATACAAGAACATATTTCCTAGGAAAAGCAAGACTTGATATTTGCAAGGTAAAAAAAGATTTATCTGAATTCCAAATATCTCAATCTTTTTTTATATTAAGGTGAATCTTCTAGGTCCCTCTACCTGTCACAAAGATTGAAAATTGAAATTTATGTGAGTCTTTTAAAAAAGCATTTTATCTATTATTCAGAAAGTATTCACAATCCTTGAATTAGACAATTAATATGTCAAAAACAGGATTTTCCTAAAGTTACGATACTATCAATTCTTATTTCTTAGTTGATGGAAATCATTGTCTCCTAAACTCTCATTAAACAATGTGAGATTAGAGTATTTCAACTCCCTTGTACAAAAAGTGAAGACTGGCAAAAAATATCATCAGATTAGTATTTATTATATTTATAAACACTTGAAATTCAGTAGAGCAAAGTCAATAGTATGATAAACAATTATTTCTTTAATTGCATGGCATATTTTATAGTCCATTAAACTTTATTGCTGTAAATGATACATTTCTAGATTAGTATGTCAGCAAAGTACATGTCAGTATAGCTCAAATGTCAACAGATGCTCTCAAAAGAAGTATTTTCAGTTTCTTCTCTATCTCTTACTAAAGTATTGATGCATAAACTCAAGAGTTCCAGAACTGACAACAACTCCAAGGCTCGAAATGGAAATAAAATGACTACAGAAAGCTTTGAGTAGGGGGCATCGTCAGCATCATAGACATAGCCACTGAAATCCAATTCTAAGCACTGGTGGAAAGGAATTATCCATGTCTAATCAAAGTAGAAATTAGGACCCCTGAAAATGAGGCCTGTGTGATTCTGTCCCACCCAAGTATCAGACAGTACTTTTGGTTTACCCTCTGCTTGAGATGGCAAAGTGTCTCCTCCTCCAGAGGTGGTGAGGAGTCAATGGTGTTGCCATCCAGCACCCTATGGGCATGAGTGTGGGGCCTTGTTTCCTCAGTGGAGGAAAAGGGACTTGGCTTCAGAAAATGGCTGATGCAGGCCCTGACACACTGAATTTTACTGTTTGAATACGAGGATTGCATAGCAGCACTCCAAGCTATTGATGCAGTTTGATTGCATATTCAGCCAGTATTATCACGCTGTACATTTGATCTCCAGTTTTGAGGTTTTCTTGATAAGTATACGAGTTAGTAACATCACTTCTTAAAGAGAAAACATTTCCTAAGATTCTCTGTCCTAGAGCTATGGACCAATATCCAGCCCCAAAATTAAGAAAGATAAACTTCACTAAATCTTGTCAAATTGTAGAAAAATATTTTTATTAGAAATTTCAGCACAAATTTTGTGATGATCATCACAAACTTTTTTAAGTTTATTTGCTATCTGAAGAGTAATGACTCCTGTGTTCTTAGAGCATGGGCAATCCCGATTCATTTTTTTTTCATGTTACAGTGTTTGTGGAGAGGTAAAGAAAGAAATCTGTGTTACTTGAAACAAATATAGCTGCTAGGTTAGATATTTTGTAAAGTTGAATTTATTGCATTCTATGAACAACAATAAAAAAATCATTATTTAGTGATCCTTGCAACTTTTAAAAGCAGCAGTATATGAAGTAAAACACCTCTACTATATTAGGGACATGATTTATATTAAAGCTGAAACATTAATATTTATCTGCTTCAAGAAAATCAGTCTCTGTTTTAAGAATGGGAAATATTTTAGGGCATTTTTTTCTTAATTTGATATTATTTTTAAGTTAACAGAACTAGTTTGCCTTACATAAAACCTTTTCCTTGATACTTGCGTATTTATGGAAGATGGTCTTTTTGTGAGTTTTTTTTTTAAATGCCCAAAAAGTGCACTTAAAATTCTTCCTAGAATGATTGAAAATATATATATGGGTACGGGTATGTGTGTGTGCTTGAATACATGTGAGGGAGCATATGCTAGGGGAGACCTACAATAAATACAAAGGAATTTTACATAGAAACATCAAAATACATATGTCCTTCCATGCAAACCCAAAAGCAAGTCACTAAAGACACAGTGGGATAGGAGGGAACAAGAGAACCTATTTTAAGCTCAGCGTGCCTCAGGTGGTCCACTAAAATGTGTTCTTGAGTACTTCAGTACATCACAGCACCTTGTTTTGTGTGAAGGTGGTAGCTGGTTCTTTATCTGAACATAATAGGAGGCGATCCTAAGTGCTGCAGATAGTTGAATGCCTACGTGGACATTGATAATGACCTTTCTCTTAAGTGTTGTCTGTTCGAGGACTTTAGTTTTCCAGTTTCTTCTTCAAAAAAAATATTGTTTATTTTTATCTGCTCTTACATATGGTCATACATTAGTAAATCTTGGTAACTGTCAGTAAAACATAATTTAGGTATTCATCATTTAATGCTTTCCTGGGTCTGTCTTTGGACAGGACTGATTTAACCTTTAGCAGGGCCTAGATCCATAATAGTCACCGAATGTCAGTTCTTCTCCCATAGACCCCTTCATTTCTCTCTGGTGAGATTTCCTATCTGTCTGAAACTTGCCATGAGATAAAGAAGCCTGCGCCTCTAACCCCTCTCTTTCTGATTTTGGGGGAGGGGGGAGCAGTCCATCACATCTGCTAGAAAAGGAACCTTCTGGGAGGGACAGCAGGACTGTCCCTCAACAAGTAAATTCAACATTTGACATTAAAATACAGAATTACTGAAAAAACAATCCCTAAAATTAGGATGTTGCAAGTAGGTCTGTTAATCAGCAATACAATATCAAGGAATATTCCACGTACTAGGCTGATTTAACAAAGCATCTGAAGTGAGTCAGGCTGCAGCTTAAATTTCTGGGTGTCTGCAGAGTGATAACTATGTATTGGCATAAGACCTAGGACATTGCTTGGTCATAGCAGTGTTAGGACTGTGCATTAGTATGTCCTGTGTGTATTTGAGATTGTTCTCTGCAGTGCGTATCTGAATACTTTATCGAGCCTCTGTGTACAAGAGCAAAAAAAAAGGATTCATATAAAAACATTCAAATACAATATGATAGCTAAAGAAAAATCAAACAGAACTGACAGAGTGATTTATCTTTCTGTCAATCAATGAAAGTTCTAGTGGGTTATTAGGTTGTTTTGCCTCAAAATTATTTTGCCTTCATACTCTGATTATTGCATTTACCTTTAAAGAAGTGAGAGACCAAAGAACTAAAAAATATTACATATTATATTATCTCTTTCTGTGAAGTATGAAAGTATAGAAGATGATATCTTCAAATCTATTAGGTTTCAAGGCTCTGGTGAAAAGTGCCAATAAGATATGTGTATTATTAACCTACCTATATTCTCTTGGCCCATATTCATTTTCTTTGGTCATAAAATTGCTGATTTATTGCTTTCTGTATTCTGGGGGTATAGACAGGAAAGCTCCACATGACTTTTAAATGTTGCGTGTCTCTTTTTCTGTCATTCTGAAAAATATGGGAAAGTGTTCATTTTATTTCCCTCGAAGAAGTGAAGAACAAATTAGAATACTGGCAACATACACTCTGAGGAGCATCAAATTAACCTTTTATTTGTGAACCAAACAAATGAAAACATATCAAGACTGAAAATTAATTTACTAATAAAAAAAAAAGGCTTTCAGAAATGCTGTTACACAGACAAATTAACGTGTTTGTTTTTACTTTGTAACTGTAGTACATTTACTCCTAAAATGCAAGGCAGACGGATGGGGACTTCAGGGAGAATCACTAAGAGCACAAGTGTGAGCGGAGAGATGTATAAGCTGGAGCACAATGATGGGAGTCAGTCGGACACGGCTGTCGGCATGGTTGGAACAGGTGGGAAGAAAAGGCGTTCAAGCCTTAGTGCCAAAGTGGTTGCCATAGTGTCTCGAAGGAGCAGAAGCACATCTCAACTTAGCCAAACAGGTGAGTGAGATGCACGCTCTTTGGAAACAGGACTCTCACCAAATGTAGTTTACCATTATTTCATCTGTGGCATCTGTGTTACATGTATTTGGATATAGACCACTCAAGAGAGAAGATTTTCCAGCTGTGAATAAATTTCTGAGATATTAATTTTCTTTCATTCTTAGGCATCTGCAAGAAACAATATTTAAATGCCTTGTAGAATATGTACCATAACCACTTTCTCTCCTGATCAATGAAAAATGTTTTTATCTCTTTAGAAGCCTTGTTTACAGGTAGGCAAGAAAATGCAAAGAGATATACGTGGGTATCAACAGTCAATAATGGTTTGGCTAAGAGCAGCTTTTTATGTATAGGAAATTTCTTTTAGCAGAAGAGTTGAGTACGAATGGGGGAAATGAAATCTCAGCAAATGAATGGCAGTTACATAACTCGGATAAAAGCTTGTACCTAGAGTGGAAAAAAATACATTTTTTAAAACTACCTTTGATTTCTTAGTCAAGAGTAAATCCAGTGTTTTTTCTTTAAAAACAACACTGGCAAATTGGGGTCAGTGAATTCAGATAGATTATATGACAGCATGATGCTTCATTAGGAACATGACTTCCAACGCTTTATTGCTACTTCAGAAATCTTAAAAGCTTCATATCTGCATAGCCTGAAGGAACAAAAGCTTATCCAGAAAGATACAAAAGAAAAAAAATATGTTTTAAAATCCCTGTCCTGCTCCTATTGAACCCTAGTGAAGACTTTTGCTCTTGTCTTCGGTGGGAGCAGGACCTGACCCTAAGGGTTCTTTCTTACTAAAAGAAGGAAAAGAAAGAGGAAAAGCTTCAGTCTAGCACAGAATGCATGCATATTGCAGCACTCCTCTCACATAGTCAGGGTAATCTAAACTAAGGTAAGTAACAATATTTATTTCTATCATCAAATCTCTCACCCTGTTTTCTTGGTTTTCTTTTATTGCTACATGAGCAGAAGTGATTCCTTCAAAATGTAAAGTTTGGTCAGCTTTAACAAAAAGATTGTAATACTCTTCTACGCTATTCATTTATTAATTTTAAGCCAGAAAGTCTATAATCATGCAGTTGGACCAAATGATAGGTGTAGTGTACATATTTGAAGCCCAGAATTGTAATTTTTGCACAAGAAAAATGCACAAAAATTAACTCTACCTGAATGTTAGACTAGAATATAGATAGTTTCATACAGTAAGATGTTATTTTAGATGCAACAGAATCAATGACAAGCTCTTAAGTAATAAAAAATGCTGTTGTATTAGAGAAAGGTTTTTAGGTTGATGTTTACTCCACTTATAAAAGAACAAAATATTTTAACTATTTTACAGAATGTTTTGTGGTTTGATCTGGCATTCCTTTCTAACTCCTAAATCCCATTGAATTAGGAATTTCTATGACAGAGCAAATCTTGTCTCCGTCTTACTCAGTAGTCCAGCTCTGACCAGGAACCAGGGCTGTATGAGTAAGAGGAAGGCACAGGGGGCTACCAAACTTAGGATGATTTGCCTTGCCTGAACCCTTGCTCTTCTCGATGGAGTTAGTAATTAACATAAAATCTAAACTGTGACTTCCAAACACTTTTTAGTATTATCTATTTGAAGCTAAGATGCTCCCATTCTTCACAGAAAGATACTATAGCTGTCCAAATTTTCCTTGGTGTAAATTTCAAACCAATAGGAATTTTGCAAGGAATGGAGCACCTAAAGTTATAATGAAACTCAAACAGCAAATCAAATATGAAAATTACAATTATGTATTATTCATGATTTTTGTAAAAGAGGGTTGAGAATGATATTTATTTTGCCTTACTGTGGCTCAGGCAAACAGTACTATCTGTGGTATAAGCAGAGCAAATAAAATGTGGCATGTTTTATCCGTCACTACTTCTTTAGTTCGATTGTCAGAAATCAGTGAGTTGAATTAATGCGGTTTTTTAGAACAATATACAGATAAAACATGATAGGTTTTCCAAAGACAGTTGGAGGCTAAGTACTCATGCTCTAAATCAGGGACACGTTTTCCTTCCTTCCTGTAATGTAATGTACAGGAGGGGAGGAGAAATCTAGAAACATCTAATTCACTTTATGATGTTATGCCTTGGTAACTTAATAATGTCTCCACTATTCAGAATAAAAACAAAAATTGGTTTGACACTATAATATAAACTAAGTCCTTAAAATCAATTATGTGAAAATTAGTTCTAATAGCCAAATTCTGAAGTTTTAAAACTGGTGTAGAAGTGTATGGACCTCCACAAAAGTGGTGCCAGGTATGAACTTCTGCTACAGATCTTCAGTAACTGAAGGTGTGCTGTTGACGTACAGCAGGTATTTTAAAGGAAGTATAAAAAATACAGAAATGTATGTGTAGCCTCTATAGATTTTCCTTTGTTTAAATTTTATTTTCCTATGACTTGCATGATTGTAAGTCAGGGATGCACGACATACAGAGTTATTTGTATCTGAAAACTCAAACTGCAAGATCAGAAATAAAACAAAAGGTCAGATATTTCTTGAAAAATCAGAGGTTGCATATTTTTGTGGAACATGTAGACCTGAGATTCTATTTTACTTTTGTCTTCAAAACCAGTAAAATTAAGTGCTGTCTTTTTTTTTTTTTTCATTTGAAGAAATAGTCAATAAGGGCTTAATTTCACTTTTTGTCAATAATTCTTACTTTTAGCATACCGTACAGGTTTAGTCTTAGATAAAAATAGAAATGGTGTGTATGAAACTGCTGCTAGGTACCTATTATTGCTAAGAGTTGATTTTCTTTTCGATTAAAAAAGGAACGTGTGTGCACGAGGCTGTGCATGCATGTATGTGTCTACGTATGCACACATGGACCTCTTTGCATATATGGGGCAGATCCACTTGCATGTTAGATTTAGAAGGACCAATAATCACATTATTTTGTGCACCCTTGTTTCAGTGCTTTTGGAAAATATTTATTCTGAATATGTCCCTTATAAGATTGTCAGTGAAAGAATCAGTTTTTATTTTTATGTAAATCTGCAAGGAAAAGTATATATTTCTGCTGCACTTTCCTTTCAACTATGTTTAAGATTTCATAATACTTTTAGTAACTGTTGAAATAACTATTGAAATAACTATTGAAATAACGAAATCCTTACTTACTTTGGTTTGTTCATTGTGCCCACAAATTGGATAGATTTTGTAGTTCATCTAAAAAAGATTGCAATCTGCTGGCAGTATTCCTAAAGAAAATCCAGCTCTGCTTATGCTAGCACAGTTAAAAAGAAGAAAAGAGGAGAAAA